TAAAGGGGGTCAAATGAGTTGTCGTAGACAAGGTTATGGTTTGCTGGTTATGATTATGCTGTCTATATGTGTGTATCAATTTTGTAGTTGAAGTTATGAATATTGGCTCTATATTGTCTGTATTTCAAACTTATGTTATGCTGCTGGGTAACATCCCAGACAAGTTGGTGTTAGCTCTGCCTAGCCTGCTTGATGGCCCATTAAGGATCATCAGCTATACAATGGACCCATTGAGAGAAGGCAGATACGCCTTGCAACTCAGCAAAGTATGCAGGGACTGGCCCATGTGACTCCAGACTCCATTTTGCTGTAATTTTCCACAGTAAGAACAAAGAGATGTTCTTACACCTGGAAAAGACTATAAAAGGCTGCTGCAGCTCCTCTATCTTTTCTTCAATCCTGCTTCATAGCTCTGGAGGAACTTTGCTACAAACTGAAGCTCTGAACAAAGGACTGAGGATCCATCCCAGCGGGGGATATATTCCAGAGACTTGATCTGAACCTGCAGTTTCTATCTCTGCTGCAAGCCTGAACCAAGAACTTTGCCATTACTGTATGTAATTGATTCCATTTAACCAATTCTAGCTCTCATCTATATCTTTTTCCTTTTATGAATAAACCTTTAGATTTTAGATTCTAAAGGATTTGCTACAGCGTGATTTGTGAACAAGATGTGATTTGTATATTGACCTGGGTCTGGGGCTTGGTCCTTTGGGATCTAGAGAACCTTTTTTCTTTTATTGGGGTATTGGTTTTCATAACCATTTGTCCCCATAACGAGTGGCACTAGTGGTGATACTGGGAAACTGGAGTGTATAAGGGAATTGCTTGTGTGACTTGTGGTTAGCCAGTGGGGTGAGACCGAAGTCCTCTTAGTCTGGCTGGTTTGGTTTGCCTTAGAAGTGGAAAAACCCCAGCCTTGGGCTGTAACTGCCCTGTTTTAAGCGATTTGTCCTGAATTGGCACTCTCAGTTGGGTCCCGCCAGAACCGCATCGTTACAGGGTGTGTAAAAGCCTGGGTCTGAATAAGCTCTCCCTCCCATCTATTGATGAACTTGGGGGGAAAGACCTCAGGAATAGCCTGTATTTGCATAGCCACGCCTACTCTGCCTAGGGGATCAGCAGCTAGGCCTGCTTTGCCAAAGTGATCAGTTTTAGCTCTTTTGGTTTAAAATTCACTTTAGTTTTGAACGCAGGAGTGAGGAAATGTTGTTATCCTGATTGTATGAATAAGAGGCAGCAGAACTGTATTTATCATGCCTTGACTAAGGCAGTCACCCTAACTGTAGCAGGGGGTTGTGATGCTAAATGCAAGTGAAAGGCAGAGGGAGATGGGAACAGATGCTCTTAGGTGGTGGTGGGGATTCTGTGTAGGTAGTTTAGATCATATTTGACCCCCCCCCTCCAGTGTTTAATGATAGAGCTCATCCAAATGAATCGAGAGTCTTTGTTTCTCCTGAGTGATCGCTAGGGCTAAAATCACTGATGGATAGGTCCAGGGGGCTGAACCTTAGACCTGGTATGACAGACAGCCCAGAGGTTGCAGCAGCAGTCAGGTTCCCTACCGCCTGGTGAAATCACTCAGAACTGGGTTAAGTGGTGGAAATTCAGAATGTGGCATCGCAGCTAGACACAGGGGCAGCAGTGAGTGGCAGGCAGCAGTAGCAGCGGTAGCAGTAGAGGCATTGCTTGACCCCTGACCCCATCAGGGGTGGGTGGTGAACCCATGTGAATGCTCCCCTGAATTCTGGGACTACGCTGACCTGGGACAACCAGTTGTGAATGGGGAACAGCAGAGGGAAAGCGGAGTGCTGTGTTAAAGGAATATTCGTCTGTCGGACTTCCACACGGCAAGGTAGAAAACAGAGGCAAAGGATACGGTGGGGTGGGAGGTTACTTATTGTTTGCACGCTTTTGACTCATTGGTGCGGGGTTTCCCCAAATTCATGCAGAGGTCCCTCTCCCTATTAATGAACGTTTGCTTTGCCTCTTTACGGGCCCGGGAGTGTGTGTGTGTGTGTGGGCGGGGGGTAGTTTCCCCAGATTTCTAGGTAGGGGCTTGAGCCGGATCTGGTTTTGTAATGTTAAGAAGAACCCCTAGATATAGAACCCAGCCCTTGGTGCTGCTGACACCCCCTGGCACAAGGGTTATGTGCAGGTGTCCAACTCTGCCGTAGCCGAATGCGAACAGTCTCCACTGCCACCTAGAGGGCAAGGGAGATGTAGCAGGAAACCCGTTCCAGTAACAAAGATCATGGACATGGGAGAGAAGAAATGACTAGTTTTTTCCCATTTTTTCCTGTCACAAGGAATAAAGAACACAAGAACGGCCACACTGGGTCAGACCAATGGTCCAGCTGACCTAGTATCCTGTCTTCTGACAGTGGCCAATCCAGATGCTTCAGAGGGAATGAACAGAACAGGCAATCATCGAGTGATCCATCCCCTGTTGTCTACTCCCAGCTTTTGGCAAATAGAGGCTAGCGACACTCAGAGCATGGGGTTGCATCCCTGCCCATCCTGGCTCAGTGGGATATTTTGGTGCCTTATTTAATATATTAGAAGAATCATCAGACATGGTTTAATTTGTTCTAAAATAAAACATTTTGTAACATGGCAGTAAAACTCTAGCAGCTGTGTGGCCACACACACACACACACACACTGCACCACACATACACTGCACTAATGAACTCCAGCTCCCCCAGCACCCCGAAGGCTCTCCCAGATGCTAGGTAATCCCCAAATAAACAGGATGCTCACAGCAGCCTAGACGGAGGTTGGTTTCATTCACTCAGGGCCACCGCTGAGCTGTTCTGGGGGCTCTCCATGCACTGGGGAGCTGAGTGACTGACTGCAATAGACAGAAGCATTCCCACTACATGCCCAGTGAGCCACATGCCTCCCCCATCCCAAATCCTGTCCTGTTCCCACAGTCACAGTCTAGTCCCTTCCCTCCTGGGTCTGAGCTGTAGTCTTGCAGTTGCAGTAGCATTTGTTGAATAGGGACCCTGCCATGAGCAGAGAAATGCCCCTCATTACAGAATCTGGCAGTTCAGATGGCAGAGGCCTTCAAGAGCATAAATGACCCCCCAAAAAACACTCCAAATCAGATACAGATGGATCCATTTGATTCTCCGGGCCCTTTGATTACATACTGATTGCATGTAATAGAATCAAAGTGCAGATGACCAGCACTCCCCCTTATTATTCCATATTATATACATAGTGTCATTAGTGCAGGTGGGGGATTATAAAAGGCAGGCAGTATTAGACACAGAATAGAATCTCTGCCCCGAAATTGGGATGGGACACCACCGCAAACGCTGTCCTGTAGGGAATGACTCCATGCAGACAGACAGTTACAAGAACAGTCAGGTTCACGGAGTTCATGGAGGACAGGTCCCACTGACTATTAGGTCACGGATGCAACCCCATACTCTAGGTGTCCCATAACCTCTGACTGCCAGATGCTGGGACTGGACAACAGGGCATGGATCACTCTGTAATTGCCCTGTTCTGTTCATTCCCTCTGAAGCATCTGGCATCAGCCACTGTCTGAAGATAGGATACTGGATACTAGATGGACCATTGTTCTGACCAAGTGTGGCCATTCTTATGTTCCATGTTAAGTGTTCAGAGTTCATGAGCCAGGCCTCCCAAATCATGAGAGATAAAAAATAATCAGTGGTGGGTTCCGTTTATTGGCCTCGTGGGGTTTGAGCACTGAGAGGTCAGTCACATCTTCCAGCTTTTCTCCACACGCATGAAGGCAGGACCCTGGCCCTTTTAATGAAAGCCAAGATTCTTCTATAATCACATGACTCCAAGAGCTAGGGCTTTATGAAAAACAGCAGATATCACGCGACTTGAGAGTTGATTTCTAGCCAATCAAGCACTTATAAAACTGCCCCTCATTCATTCTATGTTAATTGCTGTCATAACTATAAAGGGAAGGGTAACAGCCCTCCTGTGTACCATACTATAATCCCTCCTGGCCAGAGACACAAAAATCCTTTTACCTGTAAAGGGTTAAGAAGCTCAGGTAACCTGGCTGACACCTGACCCAAAGGACCAATAAAGGGACAAGATACTTTCAAATCTTGGTGGGGGGAAGGCTTTTGTTTGTGCTCTTTGTTTTGGTGGAGTTCGCTCTTGGGACTAAGACATCAATCCAGGCTCTCCAAATCTTTCTGAACAAGTCTCTCATATTTCAAACTTGTAAGTACAGCCAGGCAAGGCGTGGTAGTTTTATCTTTGTTTTCTCAACTTGTAAATGTACCTTTTACTAGGGTGTTTATATCAGTTTAGCATA